ATCCCAAATCCATCCTGGGACACTCCTGGGGATTTTTTGGGAATTCCTTCCCAAGATCCCAATAATTCCTCCCTTTCTCAGTGGAATCCATTCCCACTGTCCCATCCCTCCATCCCTTATCCCAAATCCCTCTCCAGCTCTTCTGGAGCTCCTTTAGGATCGGGAAGGGACACTCCCAGGGATTCCCTGAGAATTCCAGCCCGGCTGGGAATTCCTTCCCCAGATCCAAAGGGGACACAGGAGCAAAAATCTTCACAGGGCAAAAAAATCCCATAAATCACTAAATTTTTCCAGTCCCTGTGGATTCACACTGGAATTTCAGGAGGCTGAGTTGCCCATTCCAGAGGTTTTTTTGGGTCATTCCAGACCCCCCACCTCTGGAAAAGTTGGATCGCTCCAGAGCCCGGGACTCGTTTTATTCCCGCTCTGCAGAGGTTGGAAAAGCCAGGCGGGAATTGGGAATGATTTCCAAGGGAATGGGATGGGATTGGGATAGGATTGAGATGGGATTGGGATGGGATCAATGGGATCAGTAGGATAGGATGGGATGGGATTGGGATTGGGATCAATGGAATTGGGATCCATGGGATGGGATGGGACTGGAATGGGATCCATGGGATAATTGGGTGGGATGGGATGGGATCAATGGGATTGGGATTGGGATGGGAACAGGATCAGTGGGATCAATGGGATCAATGGAGTCAATGGGATGGGATTGAGATGGATGGGATTGGACAGGATCCATGGGATGGGATGGGATGGGATGGGATGGGATGGGATGGGATGCGATGCGATGCGATGCGATGCGATGGGATCCATGGGATGGGATGGGATCCAAGGGATGGGATGCGATGGAATGCAATGGGATCCATGGGATGGGATGGGATGGGATGGGATGGGATGGGATTCCCACCTTGTAGTAAATGCCGTTGAGATTGGAGAAGAAGCACTGGTGGTACCACCAGCCCCCGTGGGAGATCTCGGTGTGAGAAATTTTCTGATTTTGAGGAAAAAAACATCCAATTTGGGGGGAAAAAAAATCCCAAAAATTCTGATTTTAGCGGAAAATTCCCAAATTTGCAATCCTTCCTTGTAGTAAACACCGTTGAGGTTGGAGAAGAAACACTGGTGGTACCACCAGCCCCTGTGGGAAATCTCAGTGTGGGAAATTTTCCTTTTTTGGTGGAAAAAACATCAATTTATGGGAAAAAAATTCCCAAATTTCGAATTTTACCTTATAGTAAACACCGTTGAGGTTGGAGAAGAAGCCACTGGTGGTACCACCAGCCCCCGTGGAAAATCTTGGTGTAGGAAATCTCGGTGTGGGAAATTTTCTGATTTTTGGGGAAAAGCGCTTTGATTTTGGGTGAAAAAAAAATCCCAAAAATTCTGATTTTGGGGAAAAATTCCCAAATTTCTAATCCTACCTTGTAATAGATGCCGTTGAGGTTGGAGAAGAAGCACCCATGGGAAATTTTGGTGTGGGAAATCTCGGTGTGGAAAATTTTCCAATTTTACTGGAAAAACCTCTAATTTTTGGGGGAAAAAAATCCCGAAAATCCTGATTTGAGGAAAAAATTCCCGAATTTCCAATCCTACCTTGTAATAAACACCGTTGAGGTTGGAGAAGAAGCACTGGTGGTACCACCAGCCCCCGTGGGAGATCTCGGCGCAGATGTTTCC